TTTCCTCTTTTCCCCAACAATTTTATCTCCAACAATTATGGGACCAGCAATTTTATCACCTAGAGTATTTTCTCCAACTGTTTGTTTTTTTATAAATTTATTTAAAAAAATATTTTTCAAATTTAAAGATTTTAACACCAAGAATTATGACTCCCTTAATTCTATCACCATTTATATTTTCGAGTATTATACTCTCTCCAATAATTATGCAGCCATTTATTCTCTCTCCAGGATTGCTAAATAGTGTGGTAGAGTATTTTTATTTTTAATAAATAGTTAAATTAATTTTATTTTCTTTTAGATTTTAAGCCCCTTCGTAATGAATCCAATGATTATGAGCTCACAAATATTTCATCCATTTATTTTATCACCATTAGTTATGACTCCAGGAATTTTAAATCCTTCAGCTCTTTCCCCTCTTGTATTAAGCCCTTTTGTGTTAAACCCCCAAGTTTTTTCTCCAAAATTTTTTTCTGGATTAATTCTTTCTCCATATGCACTTTCACCTGTTCTTATGAGTCCAACTTATGCTTATGTTGTTATTCTTTCTCCCAGTTTTTTAAGTTAATTTTTAAAAATTGTTTTTGTATATTTACTGAAATTTAATAAAAATTAAATAAATAAATCTAAAATTATTAAATAAATACAGTACTTCAATAATTTTATTAAATGGTACTTCTCCGTTTTGTTACACCCCCTATATTTATGCTTAAAATGTCATATATAGGGTAATAAAAGGTGCCGAGTCGAACGTACCACTCTTCTTTTCTGGAGACGTCTGTGGATCAAAATACAGGTCCCCGAAGAACGAAATATCATAGAGGGGAGTAAGCTCATTTTGGGTTTATCTATTACCCTATATATGACATTTTGAGCATAAATATAGGGGGTGTAACAAAACGGAGAAGTACCATTAAAAATATTTGTCTTATTGTTTTAAAGAATTTTAAAAGAGATAAATGAAATTAAAAAAATAAATTGTTCAAACAAAAGAAAATAACATTCAGGAGAGACATCGCTTTTTTCTCTCCGATTTTCCCACTATATTTTCTGTCCCTTAACCCTACACGTACTTAGCAGTAAAAATTTAAATTTCTATTTTCTTTGTTTACAAAAGAAAAAATGATTGTTTCATTCAAAAAAAAGTTTGTTTGCTCAAGTAAGGAACGATAATGTAGAAAAACAAATGCATAAATAGTGTACATATGTAGCAGGTAAAAATATTCGTCGTCTCATAATTGGGACATTAAAAGATTTTTTAATTCAAATAATGTATTATATAAATTTCTCTAATATTAATGGCTAATATAAAAATATTTTTTGAATTTACTGAATAAAATTATAAAATTATTTTATATTTATTTAACTCCTTAATTTAGCAAATAATTTTTAAAATTCAAAAATAATTTGAAAATTTTTTATTTTGTTTTTTTAGAATTATGAATTCTAAACAAAAATTAAAAACTTCAGAAATTGGAGAGAAATACCAAAAGAAGCAAATGCCTCTTGAATTACTTGTGGACATAATTAAGGCAGCAACATATCCAAATGCTATTTTAGATTTAAAGACATTAAAACAGCTAGAAACGTAAGCAAAATTTAAAATTTAATTTAACAAAAATTTAAAATAATTTTTTACTTCTTAAAAAATTAAAATACTTTATTAGCTTTTTCTCGTATCATAATATTTTTGAAAATAATTTTCTTAACTAATTGATATAACCCATATTGCTTAATTTAAAAGTTAAAAGAAATTGTTGATAGAGGACTGTTAAAAATGTCAGAAAAATTTTATTATCAATTTTATCCCGATTTTAGATTATTCTATAAAATCTAAAGTTTAAAAATAAAATTATTAATAATAATTATTTGAATAAAACACAAAAAGCTTGTATTTCGTCTTTAAAAGTTTGTATTTTATCCACAGAACCGCAGTAAATTTGCATAAATAGAAATTCTGTGGCTCTGTTGTAAAAAAAACTCCAGATTTTTTGATTTTTTGTCCGCAAAATCTGCGGATTGCTTCCCCAAAATATGCGGTTGTTTTTGCAGAATATGTGTTCTGTTCACTAGGGTTCAACTACCATCCCCGGGGACGGTGGTATTTTTTCCTAAATTGGTAGAAATCTGGCCTGTAGGTCCACCAAAAATCGGAAAATTTTCGCCTGCGGCGCTAAAATGTAAGACATCTGTTAGCGTGGGCGTGCAAAATTCTCAGATTTAGGATCTGACTCAAAAATTGAAAAAATCTGGCTTCTTGGCCTTTCAAAAAGTGTTGAAAATTTTTGTCTTGGCAGTTATAATAAATATTTCAACTGCTCTAAAATATATAATTGTATTTGGTTTTTGACGAAAGGAAAAATTGATCTAACTTCAATAATATAATTTAAAATTATATTATTGAAAACTAACCAAAAATATTATGAGGAAAATATTTCTAAATTATATTTTTTAATTCAATTTTATTATTTGGTTGTTCAAATTTAATCAGTCTTATTATCATTGATTTCATCAAAAAGACTAAAAATTCAATTAAAAACATCTTTATTTCACCCAGTGTACTCGGATATAACAATAATGTATGGCGACCCATGAATAAAATGCAACTATTTGGAAAATACTGGAAAAAGCATATTAAAAATTTGTTAATTACTTCGAGAATTATTTACTCAATTGTAAAAAAATATACAACAAAAGAAAAGCAAGTAAGTATTTCATTAATTGAAGAATATAGGTACATATAATGAGCGTTTTTTATGGCATAGATGCTTATTATCTGATCATGATGAGATATTCAAGACAGTAACACCTATCATTTTATAAGAATTCCTATGATCAGACATCCTTACAAAACACATCTACCTATTTTATTATAAAATTTCTTAATAAATTAAGAAAAATTTCTTGAATTAGAAAAGTGTTTTTCTAATACTGATAAGATTTTAAGTTTACAAGATAAATTAATAAAATTGTTGAAATTTGATAAGATTTCCCAAAAATTGATAAAAATTTCACAAATTAAAAAATAATGCCAAAATAGGTTTTATTATGCGAAATAAATCCCTGTAAGGATAAGATAATCAACAAATAACACGAAGTTGACTTCCCAACTATTTCAAAAAAAATATTTTAACTTAAAAATTCAGTTTCATTTTATTATTTTGGAAAAAACATAATTTTCTTTAATTTCAGAGATATTGCTTTATTGCCATAAAACCTGATACAAAAGGATTAAAATTTCTGCAAATGATTTTAGACGGAAAAATTGATCTAAAAAAATTGGTAAGATTATTACAAACTATGACCTATAAGTTATGATTATTTACATTTTATTGGAGAAAAAAGTTAAAATTTTTTGATCTAACCCTTTAATTGTTATATGTATGTAGTACATATTACAAGGGAATTAAATAGGTAAACTCTAACAGCTAAAAAGCTTCTTTCGGTATAGTTATTGATTTCTGAAATTTGATAAACTTTGACGAGCATACCTTCTTTAAATTTGAATTCTTTATCTGAACTTTAGGTCTAAATTATAATTATCATTCTTTCACTCTTTTACTAGCTTTTGGCATTTTTCCTTCATCAAATATGCCTTTTATTCAGTATGCCGTTAACATTCCCATCATCAATAAAAAGGATTAATTTTTTATATAAATATAGGAAAAATGTAAGAAAGTTCACATTCTTTTAAAAAATAAAATAACCAACTTTGTTGAGAGCTACTATAAAAAAATGATTCTAAACGTATAGTACTTATCTAAAGTTAATTTAATAATCAATTATACTACATATGTATCTACCCTGACTTAATACATATTCATCATTAATTAATAGTTAGGGTCTTACAAAATATGCACGCACCGAAAAACTAATAATTCATATTCACTATCATATTTTATTCAATAATCATTATTTAATATCATCGTTCAATCAGTTCAGTTTCGGTCCCATGCGTGGCGCCGCTAGGATGAGCGACGCGATTTTTGTTTCCCTCTACCTTAAAAAATAAAAACATCAACAACAGAGGCAGAAGCCAACAGACAAGACCCGATGACAGAAGACCCACAGATGCCCATATGTTTACATTGTTTGTTTTTGTATCGTAACTTTGTCCAATCTTGTTCTTCTAAGCTTTTAGTAAAAATATTTCCTTGTGGGTCTTTTGTCTGTGGGTCTTCTGTCTGTAGGTCTTTTGTCACTACGCCACAAAGTTATGTCTGCTGCGCAAATGTCATAGAACTTCCCAGAAAACTTTCTAGGTTTAGTATGTTTTGTTGAGATTTTAAATAGCGGGAACAGTGTGAGTGAATTACTTACATCCATTAGATATTATTTTATCAATTTTCTTCAATTCTATTTATTAATTCTTTTCGTAATAAATATTGAAAAATTGCATATAAACTAATTAGCTCTATCATTTTAAAGTTTTATTGTTTTGGATGTTTTATCTCTTATAATACCTCCAATATTAGGTATAGGGTGTTGTCCGTAATTTCAATGATTTAACGATTTCGTTATATTTTTTTATTTTAACAAGCTTTTCAGTTACATATTAATTGAACAAAAATATTTATTTTCTTTTTAAAACTTTAAATATTTAAAGATGAGCCACAATCAGAATATTCAACAAATTCCAGATTATGTCGTGAGTTTTACAAAAAAATATTTACTAATTTCGATTAAAAAAATCTGATCATAAATTTGTTAATTTCTTATCGTTTAAAATATTAAAAATAAACCCAAAACCGAATTGAAAAAATTATTAATTTAATTTGTTTTTTTCATTTAGTCTCGTGAAGACTATGAAATGGTGCTTACTAAATGTGGAGTTTTACGGAACAAGAAGAATGTTGTAAACTTTGCATACCATAAAGCTTCCTCTGACTACGAGAAATTGCTGGGTATATTAATAATTTTTAATAATAAATAATTTAACAATTTTAAGCTGTCAGAGAAGCGAATCAATCGACATCTCGTCCTAACGTTAAAAAACCAAAGGTGGAGATTCCAAAATTGGGAGACATTTTAACAACATTACCAGAAACAAGGATGTGTCCGTTATGTGTTGGGACTAAAGTGAACAATGATTTTGCGGCGCATTGCAACAGTGTTCACCCAGATTTTGTTAAGAAAAATGTTTTTGCTGCACCCACAGGCGTAGTTAGTTTTTATAAAATATTTTTAATTTTTCGAGTCCTTTTTGGATGCTCTCCTCTCCCCCTTTAGTTTCAGAGGTAGCCTGGTTTTTGTGTTAATCATCTTAATTATTTTCCTAAGTAATTCGATCTCAAGTTTGGCCTGAAAATAATATTATTTCGTTATCATATGCAATGTGCTGTTTTATATTCATATATAGTTTAAGAATTTTTAATCTAATTTTTTAGGTCAATCGTTTTATTTATCGAATATTGAAAAGCGTGGGGCTATCAGAATCTTCCAGTGGTCTTATGGCTGATGCGATAGATTATTCTGATAAATTTGGGTGTACAAAGTAATCTGCTTTTCTTTTATGTTTTATTAAAAGTAATGTTTCTAGATTTGGATTAGGGAGTCTTTTGTCTACTGTCATTCAAATAGCATCCGAGGATATGGACGAACTTGGTATAATTTTTGTTCATAAGATCTTTGGGACATTTAAACTTAAGGTGATCCAAAAATGGAGCGGCAAGGATTAACGCTCTTTGTTGACGGGTCGAAGTATCTTGGTCCTGTTGTTGGACTTTTCTGCATGAAAAAAGCTGCCGAGTTTGCTCAACAATATGGTATGGGGATAGTAATTGTTAATAACACTGACAATCTTGGCTTTGAAAGATTTTATGTTAATAGGATGCTTGTACAATATGGCGTGATTGTAAGAATTTATCTTAATTATCGTATAAGATGTAAAACACTTATTTTAACCGATTCAATTAATTTATGTCAAATTTGAGATAACTGCTTAAAATTAGTTTTGTCACGGTTCAAAAAATCAAGGACGAGTTGTCCTTTGTAGTTTAGTTAAAATATTTGTTTTCTTCCTCCTATTATTTTTCTTTATGTTTTATTTTTAAAATAAATTTAAAGGGTATCGTCTTCTCCGAAAACTCGATGTATTTCAGTACTAATGAACTTGCTGATGTTTTTTATCTTCCTAAAGGGAGCATTGAAGAAATTAAAGGGATTTTAGCATTGTTTGACTTGAATAACGAGGAGTTATTTGAAGGGAAAACGGTTTGTCTCTTCATTTTTTCTTTTATTAAAACATGAGTAAAGTAGTTTTATAAAAGAAAGGCGCCTCCGATAGCATTAATTGGGCTTAGGAGATATTAAATAATTTCTAAAGAACGATTAAAATGCTGCGCATTCAAAAAGTTGTAAACATTATTTTTTAGAGCGTCATTATTGGAGTTAAACGTGAATACGATGTTTATCAACAGTTGGTGGCTAAGGAGAATCTCTTGGATAAATTTGTAAGATTATCTCTGAATAATTCTCGTTTTGTATATTTTAATTTTGAAGTGGGAAGGGAATGCTTATCCAAAAATTTTAATTTCTAGTCATTTGATTATTGGAAAATGAAACCTGGGCTAAATTAAAGTTTTAAAATTTCGGTCTTTTAACCGTTAAATGGGTATATATGTATCTATATTTTTGTTAATTCTATGAAAAAATTAATATTTTAATATGCTAATATTTAGCGAAAGCTTCAACATATAGAATTAGAATATGAGAAAAGACACAACAAATATGGTGCCGTTTATTTTAAGGAATTATACGAAGACATGGTAATATTATATTAAAAAAATATTTTTTTATATTTTTTGAAATTAAAAAAAATTTCCAAAAGAAAATTATTGAACTAAAGTGAATATTATTTTTCAGAAAAAATTGGCGGTTTGTTGCAAGATTCCAGTGTTTGATGTTCGTGTACATCTTTAAAAAAGTTGTAACATTAAAAAGCTGTTTGATTTAATCTCTTTAAATACGATCTTATAAATATAAGATTTCTTGTATTCTTTTATTTAATTTATTACCTACCTGTCTTTTATTTGATTTTAAACAATATTTTGATTTTGGGAGATAAATTTTTTAAATAATAACGCTCAAATCAGTATTTGCGATAAATACAAAAATCGGAATCTTAATCCATCTTTTAGATGAATTTTTAAAGATTTATTGAGTTTGATAAAAAAAATACCTATTAAAATCTGGAATGTTGGTTGGCAAAAATTATTTTGTAAACTTATTTTTTCAAACTTTTTGCCCATATAAGTAATTGGAATTTGTAAAGTATTTACAACTTAAATGTTTAAATGCTAGTTAATTTTACAATTTGGTACTTTTTGTTTGTACACACTGGCCAGACTTGCTCAATTTCTATTTCCTTATGACATTCAAAAGGATAATGGAAATATTAATTTTTTAGTTTCTTAATAAAAATAAATTTATGGGGGGGGGGGGAGTTCAAAAGATTTTCAATATTCGAAATTTTTTATCAGAATTTAATTCAAATAGAAATTATGAAAGACCAAAAATTTTTAATTCAGAACTGGCACTATTGCAACCCGTAAATACAAATAAATGTTTTCTTTCTGACGTCATTTAAGTGAAACAAAATGCTAAAAATAAATAGAATAAATAATTAAAAATTAATTTACTATTTACCTATAAATTATTAGAAGAAGAACGTCCTAAAGTTATTTTATGCACTAGAGCAATTTCATTAATTATTAAATTGCTTGAATTTCTAGTTCCTGAGATATTTGAGCAACTTCTATTTTTAATTATATCTTCTTTCTGATAAAAAATAAAAAAATTATTTTTAAATAATCAAAATTCGAAATTAGTTTTTTAGCAAATTTCCACATTTGAATAATATGTACTGTTTCCACTAAAATGGATAGTAATTGTTTTACATTTCCCCAGCTCAACTTTGTTTCTTACAGTAAATAGAGCAAAAAAAGAAAAACCACTTTTGGGTTAAATATTCTTATTGTAAAAAAGAATTATTTAATATATTTATTTTGTAAACACCCAATATTTTGTAAACACCCAAAATACTTTCAAAAACCAACATATATTTCATCAAATCCTTTCCTTTCAAATTCCAAAGATTTTTCCAATATTTTATTTTTGAAGTTTCTTTTATGATTTCCTTCAGAATCGCTATCCAAACGAGTACTAGATTTACTTGATTCACCTCCACTGCTTCCTAAACCAGCATCGGAAGAAGCAGAACCAGCAGAGAAATTACTTAAATTTAGAATCAGAAAAGTACCTATATTTAAAATTTTGTCAAGACCTATTAGATTTAGAAGATCGTCTCGATTCTCTCCATTTTTGAGACAAAATATTTTCATTATTCTCTTTTACAACATCCAATTTTGTATTTATTGTGAATATAGAATTTCCACTAATGCTATTTTTGTTTATTTTATTTTTTTGTTTTGGCAATGGAAGTGCAGTTAATACAGCTGGAAGAAGAACAAGACCATGAAACATTCCCAATGAAACGACAACAATAATTGTCTTTTGAAAAAAATAAATTGAAATTTTAAAAATAGGTTAGAGATTTAAAATTAATATGAAATTTTTTATTACACAAAACTTACCTTAAGAAAAACCATAGCCAAATATGACTGCTTAAAAAGGAGAGGGAGAAGGGCAACAATTGTAGAGACACCAACCTTTAAGTAAATTTAGAATACAAATTTAAGATAAATATTTTTGTATATTTTACCTGCACCATTGGATAACCAATGACTGTTAAAGCTTGTTGCATTCTCAATCGAGGATTCTAAAATTTCATAAAAATAAATTTGAGTTTTAACTTATTAAACCCCCTCTGGTGCTTTATAGTAATGGTAGCTAATATGTGCTGTGAAATCTACACTGATACCGATTGCCTGAATTTTTTAAAGATATTTTTTCATTTTTAATCACAGTTAATTACTATTAAAAGTGAGGCCATAGATATCGGATCCAAATCTATATTCCACATTGATAATATTCCAAAAATGCCCCAACTAATAGAAAACACAGAAAATACCGCAGCAATTACACTAATTAATTATTTTTTAAAATAAATTTTAAAATTATTTTTAAACCTTAAAAAATAAGGTATAAATAACATGCAAACAATACAAGTACAAAATAAAGCAGCTGCTACACTTCCCAAAACTGTTTGATCTATTGAAATTGTCTTCAAAATAAATGATGTTATTCAAGTAAAACTAAAATATTTTTGACCTGATCAACAAAAGGAGTGTGATCACTATAAGCATAAACTTGCATATCAGAATAATGGGCAGCTATTCTTCTCCATTCATTAACCTTTATTTAATTAAACTGAATTAAAAACACAAATAAATTCACCGTGGGCACTAATTCATGATATTTAATAACCCGATGAAAATTGGTAACAAAAAAGAAAGAATTAATACATTCGGGCCTATTTAGACGGCAAGCACTTTCATTATAATGAACAAAAGAACTTAAATAAAAATATGCTGCAGATTTAAAAAATGCTGGAATTTCTGTATAAGTGAAACGAGGAGAAGAAAATTCATCTGATGGATCAATCTTTTTAAAAAAATTTTTTTAAGTCCAAGAATCCAGATATAAATTAGAGATGTCACCTCATGATCGTCAAAATTATCATTTCCATTGCTATAAAATCGAAGAAAGTCTTCATATTGTTGAAGCCAGAAGAATGTAGATTCTTGTCCATAACTATTTAATGCATGTTCAAAATCCCAAACAAGTTGTCTAATTCCTTTAAAAAAATATTTTCTCCAAAAATATGTAGGCAATTCGAGCTCCTTCGGAGGATTCCTAATTTCCTAGAGCCGTGTTAACTTTTACGATTAATACTTAAACACATGGCTAAATTTTCTTTTACACGGTGAGGCAAAGCTTAGTTATCTTAACAGGGTTCAATTATTTATTCTAATTTTTCAAAGTTTAACTAGATAATTGTTGTAAATCCCTCATATCCCCGGGATGCAAAACAAAAACACTAATTGGCTGCATATTTCTCAAAGCCATTTCAAATTGCATTTGAAAATCGTGTAGATAAGAGTTTGGTAAAGCCATTTTGTCTATCGAAATATTTGATTGAAGTTTTCGAATACCAAACCAGCAAAGGAAAAAATAACAGCACATAAATAATGCAAGAAGTATTCTTTTAAAGAAAAAAGAAAATAAAAATGAGGATGTTTAATTTTAAAAATTAAAGTTTTGAAGTTTATTATTAAAAGTTTATTTCTATTAAACAAAAAATTGCTTTAATAATTTAAAAACAAATATTTTACTCTTATTTTTAAAAATGTTAAAATTAATTAAAATAAACTCAATTAATTAAAATATTCACACCTTGTTACCCATTGTGTTACAGCCCAAGCCCAAAATTTAATAACATCATTATGAATTTTGATTGTTACAGATGCAGCAATTGAATAAAACTTTAAATATAAAGAAATAAAAAAACATGTATTACACAATAAGCATTTAAATAAATAAACTAGGGTAGCATCCCGAGCCTTCGGAGTTGGGTATGTCGGGGATCGACGTTTGCCGTGGAAGCCATGCCAAAAAATATTGTCGGGGTCGGGGTTTCGGAGGACGGGGTGCTACCCTAAAATAAATAAATTATTTGTTCCCCCAAATAAATTATTTGTTCATCAACAAAAAATTAATTTAATATTCTTACATTATTAGATTGCCCACTAATAAAGTAATTATTATTGTCATTATTATTTTCTTCTTCCTTTCTTCTCCTTCTTTTATTAATTAATTCTCTATTTTCATTAAAACAAATAATTGAAGAAAGGAAAACTAATTGATATAGCCAACCTTTTTTAAAATAATTTTTTAAAATAATTTAACAAATTTAAATTTACAAATTGTAATTGCCAAGGCCGAAAAAATACAAAAAGTTCGAACTGCTGGAGTATCAGAAAACGCTCCAATGGCAAATGAAATAACGTTTGTAAGTGAACTTTTTAATTAAATAATTATTTTAATTTTTATTTGATTAAATATAATCGGACCTCAATTTTAATTAGGCACTAAAAATTTTATCTAAAATAAGGAGTATCCATTTTATGGGGGTCGCCTAGGCCATTCTCCCCTCCCAGTGGCCAACCAAATTAAAAAATTAATTTTTTGAGGGTAAATGTAAAATTGAGGGGTTAACTTATTTAATAAATTAAAAAACTATTTTTCTCTCCACCTTATAGTTATTGAAGGACCAGCATCTTCCAAACACAAAGCCATTCTTTTAGCTATTCCATTTATATTATCAAAATTATTATTTTTGTTAAATATTTTATTTGTTCTGTGCCAGGCACGCATCTATGTATATATTAGAATAATTATATAAATTTTAAAAATAAATTTTCTACCAAAATAAAAATATCATCAACACCAACAGAAAGAACCAAAAATAAAGCAGCCACAATAATTGACTGAAATTTGTAGCCTGTGGCTGCCATTAAACCTATTGCTGTTGACTTTAATAAAAATTTAAATTATAGCTATTAATTTCGCTTAAAGAGATAAAAGACACGGGGACGAGTAATAAAGGAAATGCTTTGCTCCCGGGAGGGAACTTCAATTTCAATTTCTTTTCAACTTCAAACTTCAACTCAAACTTCATACCGTTCCCTGGATTAATCCTACTATTTTTAATTTACCATAGCAAAAAGGGGAACCAGACAACCAATAAAACATTCAACAAAACGATTTTCTTCTCTTTTAGCTCTAAAAGATGTTGAAACAACAAAAATCTTAAAAATTATTTTTTAAATATATAAAAATAATTAATTTACAATCATAAAAACAACAGAAGTAGCTAAAAGAGGCGCAGTTTCAGCACCCATTCTTCTAACTTCTTGTGTAACTAAATAATCACTAGTCATTCCTGTCTGTTATTTTTTTTAATTAAAATTTAAAATATCTAAATTTAATTTAAAAATACTTTTAATAAATTTGAATAAGGGGGATGTTCAAAAAGATCAATTGCTGCTAAAAAAATAAAAAAAATTTTTTTCCCGAAAAATCCAAAAATAACCATTTTGCCATTTAAC